GAATCTTTCCAAATAACTGCTAGATTAAAAAATCTTCTGAAGATTCTCAGGATCATTGCCTTGCTCATCTTTTACATATAACTGTATGGCTTGACATTTTTTAGTTTTAGTTTTTTATTTGTTTGTTGTGAGACACAGGCTTGAACTTGCAGGGATCCTCCTGCATCAGCCTCCCAAATGCTGGAATTACAGGCATTTGCCACCAGGCCCAGCCCACAAGTAGGTTTTGACCCAAACTGTGGAAAAAGAATTTCAGGATGTGCCACTGTGAGGCGTAGGCAGAGTTAGGCAGAATTAGTAAGAGCTAATAGGAAAAAGACTGCAGCTTGAGCAACTGAGGGGACACAATGGCCCTCACACAGGGCAGCTTTCATGGATTAGCTGAGTGGGCCAGAGTCAGGTCAGCCACTATCTCAGTTCTGGTTTTCTAGCTCTGGAGGAACCTTATAGACATGATTGCTTTTGCTTGGGAAGGGGCTGCCTCGCTAACTTAGTGGGCTAACTATTCCTGTATGGGCCTGGTGGTCGGGAAGGCTCTGCTTTCCCTAGAATCTGAGGTGACTGTAGGTTAGATTTCTAGGTGTTGCTGTAGTTCTCAAGTTAGACGTTGTAAAGAGCTGGTATTTGGGTGTGTCTCTATAAACTCTGAAAATTACTTCAGTTACTCTTGTGTTGGTGTATTTGGTGTTGATGGGGGATGAAGCAGACTAGGTAAATTCAGAGCTAACAACCCTTGCAATACAGAAGCCTCTGAAGTGACTAAGATGCCCACCTGCAGGGCTGAGCAGGGATCTGGCTCCAAGTTGTAGGGTAATAAGGAAGACAAAAAATTGAATTTTGTTGCCTACTTTTAACCTGTATTTATTTCTTCTATCATACTTAACTCATTTTTGTTTCTGCCTGTATCCTTCAAAAATGCCAGTAGCATGACAAGCAGAAGAACCGGTCTAGGTTAAAGGATATGAAACAGAGGTACCAATTAGATGCTATATTGATCCTGATCTAACCAAACAAAAAAGTGATAGAAAAGACATTACTGTACCGGGACAGTTGGCAATACCAGAATAAAGAACACGGATTAAAGCCTTCTATAAATGTTCTATTTTCTGAATTTGACAGTTGTCAGTAGTTTTATTGTTAGGGTACACTTACTAAAAGATGTAAGGAGCGAGTGGGTCTCACGTCCACAAACTGCTCTTGAATGGTACCATAACAACATTGTGAATCTTGAGGGAGGATACGTAGTAGTTTTTGTTCCAACCTAACAACTTTCCTGGAAATTAAATTTGAGTAATAGTTTAAGTGCTATTTTCAGCATTTCTTTCCTATCTTACAAAGTTCATGCACAAGTCTCTCCAGCACGTTCTGTAAAGTGGCTTCAAAGTCATAAAGCATGACTTTTTTCAACTTCCAGTTTTTTTTTTTTTAATGTATTTAGTACAAGCTCTACAGGGTCTCAATATGCAGATCAGACTCTAGTGATCCTCTTGTTTTCAGCCTCCCAAACACTGGGATTACAGGATTATACACCCAGTCTTCATCTTGCAGTTCTATTCTCAAAGTGTAAATCTGTAGTTCCACACCAGCCTCTCCAGGGTGCTCATTCAAAAATGGAAATCCTCAGACTCTCACCCCAGGCTTGCTATATCAGAAACTCGGGGCGCAGCCCAGGAAATCTCCATTTTCACACGTCCTCCAAGGCATTAAGTTTGGGCAGCCCTAATCTATGAGCCGTCAGAGCCGCATCTGGCTCGCAGACCGTAGTCTCCACGTAAGTAAACCACAGAACTCAGGACCACTCGCCTCACAGAGCAGAGAGGAGTGGGCCGGGCGCCCTCCTAAAGCACTTTTCCCGAGCTGCAGAGGTCGTTCGGATCCCGGCTAGGTGGGGAGGGGCGGCCGGACGGGGCGGGCCGGAGCCTGGTGTCCCGCCTCCCAAGTCCCAGCCTGCCGCGTCGCGCAGTCCCGCTGCTTCCTTTGCTCCTTTGCTCCTTTCCTTCCTTCCTTCCGCCGGGCGCGATGGAGCCCGGGAGCCGGGCGGCCGCGGCGCTGCTGGCGCTGCTGTGTGCGGGTTGCGCGCTGCGCTCGGGGCGCGCCCAGTACGAGCGCTACAGCTTCCGCAGCTTCCCGCGGGACGAGCTGATGCCGCTCGAGTCGGCCTACAGACACGCGCTGGACCAGTACAGCGGCGAGCACTGGGCCGAGAGCGTGGGCTACCTGGAGATCAGCCTGCGGCTGCACCGCCTGCTGCGTGACAGTGAGGCCTTCTGCCACCGCAACTGCAGCTCGGCGCCCCAGCCCGAGCCCGCCCCCGACCTCGCTCGCTACCCAGAGCTGCGCCTCTTCGGGGGCCTGCTGCGCCGCGCACAGTGCCTCAAACGCTGCAAGCAGGGCCTGCCAGCCTTCCGCCAGTCGCAGCCCAGCCGCGAGGTGCTGGCGGACTTCCAGCGCCGCGAGCCCTACAAGTTCCTGCAGTTCGCCTACTTCAAGGCAAGTCCGCCCCGCCCCGGCTCCGGCTCCCGCCCCGCCCCCGCTCCCGCCCCCTGAACCTTCTCCACCCCGCTGTTACCCACTGCAGGAGCTCCAAGTCCTTCATTAAGGATGGTGGCCCGGGACATGGCTCAATAGAATAAGTGCTTCCCTGGCAAGCACATGGGTCTGAGTTCAATCTCCGGTTCCACAAAAAAAAAAAAAAAAGGAAAGAGCAGAACCTTCATTAAGGATGGAAATACTGTTTTTTAAAAAGCGCTGTTCTTTTTTCTTTTTTCTTTTTTTTGGCGGAACAGGGGATTGAACTCAGGCCCTTGCGCGCTTATTCTACTGAGCCATCTCCCCGGACCCCAAAAGCGCTGTTCTAAGTTAGTGAAGTGCGTGGGACGCAGCACATGTCTGGCACCCAGCAAAGTGCTCCATAAACGTTGCCTCAAGTTATGTGGAGGCAGAGTTCTTTTCTGTAGATCCTGTTTACAGTCACCTTTCTACTAGGGCTGGGACCAGCCTCGGAGAAGCGGAATGTGACCGGAGGAGCCCGCGAGCCCTTTTCCAGAGGAGGAGCTTGAGAGCGGGGCGGGGCGGGGCGGGGCGGGGCGGGGCGGGGCGCCTTGAGGACGTATCCCTGCCTGGGTGCGGTGCTTCATCCGGCTGACCCTCTCGTCTTTCTTACATCTACAGTTTAATACTTTAACAACAGCTTCCGTTTCATAGCTGCTTAAACTCTGTCCCAGACTGCTGACCCAAAATAGCTAGAAACTGTAGGTCTCTATGCTTTTGAGTCCTTAATCTGCAGGCTCACCAAGTTTTACAACGGGGATGAGCAGCGCCGGGTGGCAGGCGGGTGCAGGCCTCTCTGCACGCTGAGAGCCTGAAGCAGGAGGCTTGAGCCAGCCTGGGCAGTTTAGCTGCTTAAGGAGATCATGTCTCAAGTGTATAAAAAAGGCTGGGGCTGCAGCTCAGCACAAGCTGCTGGACTGATCCCTAGTGCAGGGGCGGGGTGAATTCTCTGATACTGGACAGAGGGGCTTTTGCACTGTGGGTCGGCCCAGGGTTTGGCCCATAGAGCCCCCTCAAAGCCCAATTTCTGCTGACTGTGGTTGAAAAAGGTCGAGTCTTCGTTCAATGAGTGACTTCTCCTTTCCAGAACTCACTGAGCCAGCCATGTGTATGTTGTATTCATATAAGCAATAAAATAGTAAAAAACACCTTCCAAAATTCTAAAAAAGCTGGCTTATTACTATGATTGGTCACAGTTCTGAATAAAAATATCAGTTTTGTAAATGTTTGCTTTGGAAATAAAAAAGAAAAAGTTTTAAAATGGAGCCAGAGATGAGATTAGTAAAATTCCAGAGTGTTGAAAATCACAGCAGGTTCATACAAGCAGTATTTTTAAAGCTAAAAATGATTTGTCTGATTCTTTTTTTTTTTTTTTTTTTTTTTTGTATAGCTTTTGGCAGATACAGTCTGGATCAAGTTAAGCCACATAATCAAGTCAGGAACATTTTTTACTTTTAAACATGAATATTCGAAGCTCTAATTTCTTTCTTTCTACAGTACCTCACTATGTAGTTCAGGCTGCCCTTGAACTCACTATGTAGCCCAGTTTGATCACCATCAAACCTGTGGTGATCCTCCTGCTTCAGCCTCCCATGTGCTGGAATTCCAGGTGTTGCCACCACACCCAGCTCTCCGATTTCTTTTAAGAAATTCAAGTTCAGATGAATTTGAAAAAGTAGTATTGGCAGGAAGGGACACCATTGAACTCCATGTGACCATAGGGCACTGGTTTTTGAGAGGTTGGGATATTTGTAATATCTCTTCAAAACCCTTTGTAGGACCTAAAACACTTATTCACGTGAGTAGAACACTACCTGTTTTAGTATTTTAAAAAAATCACTTATTGATTGATTTATTTGGTATACGGTCTCACTAGGCAGGTGGGACTCATAGTGATCCTCCTGTCTCAGCCTCCTCAGCACTGGGATTACAGGCGTGTACTACACGTGGTTTTGGTGGTTCCGGGATGGGCATGGCATGTGGCACCAGGGATCAAATCCAGGTTCTTGCCCTTGCCAGGCAGGCACTGAGACTGCTATCTCTCCAGTCTGTTTTACTATTTGGAGTTTGCTTTTTTTCTTTTGCTTTGCGGTACTGGGGATTGAGCACGCTGAACCATCTCTCTAGGCCCCAACCCCCTGTTTTATTTTGAGACAAGAACTTGTCAGCTTACCAAGTTTCCCAGGCTGGACTCAAACTTGGAGTCCTCCTGCCTCAGTTTCTCAGAGTGCTGGCATTACAGATGTATGCTATCACACCAAGGCTATGTTTTAAGGTCTCTTTTGGGACAGGGGATGATAAAAATTTGATTAATAAACCTTAATGTTTACTCAATTTGTTTCAACTGAAGCTATCACTGAAAAAGTGATTTTTCCTGGAGATAGTATGTGAATTTTTTTTTCCTCAATGGTGTTTACATTCTCAAACGTATGGGTAGATAAAAAATGGTTGGCACGAGGCATGTCTGCTCCTCTTGGCCTCTGGGGCTGGGGTCAGAGGCGCTACCTGCTTGGCTGCTCTGGGGTGAATGTTGCTGTGCCCTTCTGATCCAGGTCTGCACTTTGGTGATTATGAACTTGCGAAGCATGCGTGTGGCAGAGCTGGACATGGTGGAGGGCAGTGGGCTGGGAATGGTGGGACAAGGTGGCAGGCTTGGAGGTGTGATCTCACAGGAATGGTGCAGTGCCTGAGGCTCCTGCACTACCGGTGACTCCCCCACGGCTGTCGTCTGCCACTAATGCCCAATACCTCTTGTGTCCGTGGCTCTCGGGAACCCATGGCAGAGTGCTGGGTGTTCTGCTGGGGTCTGTCAGAGATGCTCTTCTAGCTGGCAGTACCTGGGGTGGAATGAGGGAAATAAATCTATCCCCCTCCCCCTTTTCTGTGTTGAGGAATTGAATCCAGGGGGTACTGATATATATCCCCAGCTTTCTATTATTTATTTTGATTTGTCTTTAACTTACAATCTTCCTGCCTCTGCCTCCCAAGTAGCTGGGGTTATGGGTCTTCCATTGTGCTGGGCTTCCACTGTTGTTTATTTACTTATTTTGCAGTTCTGGGGTTGAACCCAGTGCATCGGGCACTCTAGGCAAGTGCTCTACCACTGAGGTATATCCTTAGCCTAGGAATTACCCTTTTCTGAATTTTGCAAATTCAGATATTTTAAACCAGAGGTCTTAATAAGCCTATTTAGAGCTGGGGATGATGGTATATATCTAGAACTTTGAGCAACTGAGGCGGTAATTTAGAGAGTTAGTAAGACCATGTCTCCAAAAAAAATTTAAAAAGGTGCTGATGTTGGAGATGTAACAGTGCAAAGGCCCTGCGTGTAAATAGATAATTACCCCTCTAACCACCCCTGTGTTCTCCTCTGGCTAAATGCTCTTCCAAGAATGAGATTAATTTCTTTGGTACATGCTTTACAAAGCCTGCATTCTGACCTCTCCCTTCCTTCTAGCTGCCAGGCCTGGTGAGAGCTTCCCAGACCTCAGCCCTGACTTCTGGGACAGTGTCCTCATCTCCACCACTTCCCCTCCCATGGGGCAGTGGCCTTTGTCCCAGACATCCCAATCTCTGTTTCACCTCCTGCCTCAGCTTCCAGTAGCTGGTGTGCATCATTGCACCCAGCAAGAGAGGTTCTTAACTGAGATTAGTAGGAAAAAGAGAGAATTCCAGAATGGATGGCCTGTGAAAGTGTGAATTCTCCCCATTCACTCCCCATTCACTCCCATTTTGTTTATTAATATCAACCCACTTCCTAGAAACAGTGCCTGCGTAAGAACCTTTCACAAGTATTTGCCAAGTGACTGAGGAAGTGGTAGGGGTCACAAAAAATGGAGGCAGAGGGTTCTGTGAAGAATTTGGCGAAATGTTAAATGTATTTGTGCCAAGTTTCCAGCAGAAAAAGTGTGGTACTGTCATCCTGAGTGATCCAAGGAAGGGTTACCAGGGTGGCTGAGGTGTGTGGGGAGCCCAGGAGAGGCAGTGCAGCCCACCACTGTAGCCCACCAGGTCTAGTACCACTGTAGTACAAGCTCCTGTTTTAGTCAGCTTATCATCACTGTGACACAGTGCCTGATAACAAAACTTAAAGGAGGAAAAGTTTATTTTGGCTCATGATTTCAGGGGTCTTAGTCCATAGTCAGCTGGCTCTATCACTTGTAACCTGAGGGCCAGGGAGATAGCTCAGTAGAATAACTGCTTACCTGGTAAGTACAAGGTCCTGAGGTTGATCCCTGGTACCACAAAAAAAAAAAAAAAAGGAAGAGAGAGAAAAGGGCTGTCCAAATAGCTCAGTGGATTAAAGTGCCTGCAAGCAGGTTCAGGGACTGGGGGTTCAATCCCCGGGCTTGCTGTGCTGGCCCTGCGCCTGGGGCATGCTGAGATAGTGATTGAGACTGGGCATGGTGGTGCGCACCTGTAATCCCAGCTCTTGGGAGTCTGTAAACTGGCGGATCACTGTGAGTCCAATCTAGTAATGAGACCCTGAATGCCCTGCAGACCCTTCCCTAAAATACAAAAAAA